ATATACAAATTCGATTTCAAGGCAAAATAGGACGAGGACGGAAGAAGTAATGACGGTAAGTACGGTAAGGACAAGAAGAACGAAAAATAGTGCAGGCTTAGCCACAATGAAGGAGGCGAGCAAATTGTTTGTTGACTATATCTGGCTCCAAAAATGAACCTGGCCTGTGTCAAGTGTAGCTAATCCTGAGATTTACTGTAGTACAAGATGCAAAAAGAACTTTGAGTATTCTTCAGGGTTTCTCCGCAGTACTTAAAGATCGGAAGCGAACTAACAAGTCTTGGCTTCTTGTTCTAGAGTTAAAGAAAAAATTCAACATGAATTTCTGAGAAAAGAATAATCTACCTTTGAACTCACAAGTGAGCTAGACTAGGACTAGTTCCACATAAATCATCCTAAAATCAAAATTAGAATTAGTCATCCTTCAGCAGCAGTGTTATCCGTGTTCGCCATATGAACTGTCTCAGAATTATCTCCCTTCGCAAGGCTATGATGGATTTGATGATGGAGAGGCGGAGGTAAGCAGAGGGAAAGAATCCAGAAATTCATTCGAAACGGATTTCGAAAGCAAGCAGGAATTGGGCAGCAATGAAAACGGCGGAGATCTGATGAACAAAATTCATTTTGCCTAGCAAGGAATTGTTTTTGAAAACCTTAAACGAAAATTTTATCCTACTTCATGCTGTTGTAGTCTTAAAGTGGCAGTAAGTAGAATGTGTTACTACTGACAACTTCTGAGGTCTTAACTTTTCTGTCAACTGTTTTTTACATTTTCATTAGCGATTCTAGAAATATTACGAATTTCAAAATGCGTTTTAAAATTTAAACACGCCTTTGCTCCCACCTTTTGGGCTAATGAGCTCAGCAGTTGGTAACGAGTAGATGTAAACGGATTCAAATGAAGCGTATAACAACGGACGAAATGATAGAGCTGTTAAGGAAGTAAGATGGCATGTCATCCGGGATATCCGGGAAGGAGGGAAAGGGATGGGTCGGGTAAAATCCTGGTCTAAGTAGGAGTAAAATGAAATACTCGAGTAATAATTCACCACCTATTTGAATAAGGGCGAACAAAAAAGCAAGCGATTGTTGTAAAGAATTGTATATATGATAGCCTCCTTATTTCACTTTTACACCCCACATTTTTTGATCTTTCAGTCATTTTCTGCTCAGTGTATTTTAAAATCGAATAAATGACCAGTAGGATCGCGATTTTTCTCACTGCCCACCGTTCACCATTGTAATAAATGCATCACCTTCAGTTAATTTTGTCAGAGCTGTCTTAGTTTGATTAATTTAAGAAAGGCGCATTTCTTGGATTCTGTCTATTTCGACTTGGAACGGACTTTAAAATTACATCGTTTACTTGCATGTTTTTATGCGTTTTTTGCATCTATGCAATGTAGAAAATGCATATTGACGAGAGATTGTCTGTGTGTGTCTGTGTGTTCGTCTGTACCGATTTTTCATCTCGAGACCTACAAGAGCCACAGGACTGAAACTTTGGGGACTTAATCTACATACATGTATGGGCCGCTATCCCAGAAATGGGCGGTTTTACCCATGTGGTACCCACGCACGAGCCCGTGGAAGTTTTTTGCGGGTAATTCGCTAACTCGAGAACCAGAAAAGCTAGAGAGCTGAAATTTTAGGGGGATATTCTCCGTCCACGTAAGTCTTAGTGAACTTCAAATCAGTCCCCGAGTATGTATGGTACCCACACACGGGCCCACAAAGTTCTTTGCTGGCAAGTTGCTAACTCAGGAACCTGAAAAGCTAGAAGAGTGAAATTTTAAGGAAATATTCCCCCGTACGTCTAGGTGTTAATGAGCTCAAATCTAGACACCAGGTATGCACTGTACACACGTACTGGCCCGTGAATGTTTTTTACGAGTAAGTTTTTAACTTGGGAAAATAAAAAGCTGAAAAGCTGGAAATTTAATGGGGTTGTCCCCGCCCAGTTATGACCTCAAATTCAGATCCCGGGTGACGAGCGAAAACAATTAACGGTTAAGTTGTTAACTCGGGAACCAGGAAAGCTAAATGCTAAAATTTTAAGGGTATGTCCTCCGATCAAGTACAATCCAGTGTCTTGAAACTCAGCCCTTAGGTGTGTGCGCGGTTTTAAAAAGCGAGCCCTTGAAAATTTTTGGCGGAAAACTTACTTTCTCGGGACCAAAAAAGCTAGGCCTGGAGGCAGCTTTCATGTCTGACTAAGACGTCAGTGCTTAGATGCTGGTGTTCAGCCAGATGTACTTGAAAACAACTTCACGTTCCTTCCATATTTCATGCAACTCCGCAACCGAAACAGCTACAGCACTAAAATTTTCTGGACATGGCCTACGGCCATATTTGGGTAGACAGAAACGCGTAAGAAAAATTCACTTTTTCCCTCACCAGCGCGTGAACTTTAATGTAACTCCGCGTCTAAGGTCCGAGAGAGTTGAGATTTCCTGAGCATGTACCGCGAGTTTCTGGGCAGGCCTTTGTGAACACATGTAGAATGCTTCCTGCACGTTACAAGCACGGTCAGCTGGTGGTCTCGAGATATCAGCATACTCCAATTAGTTAGTTTACTTACCAAAAAATTTTAACCACTTCATTTTTTGCCAAGATTCAATGGCAAAAAAATGCCAGATTCTGGCGGCAACATTAATTTTTAAAACCCTTCCGCACAAAGAGGGAATGCAAGAGCCCACACACAGTGCATACTCTGCCTGTAAATGATACGGAAGGTTGGGAATCATTGCCTACGTTCAGAACTTCGCGCCAAAAGCGACGATGAGTCATAGTCCTCTCTATCCTATGTACGCGCAATTTTGGCGGGCCCGTACGCGGGTACTACGTGGGTAAGACCACCCATCTCGGGGATGGGGTCCCGTACGTGCATGTAGATTATTTTCCCAAAGTTTCAGCCCTCTAGCTTTTGCCGGTCGCAAGATGAAAAATGGTGCTATTTAAATCTGCCAAATAACCCAGCCTGGTATCCTGTTTCGCGCACTCCTGCTTCGTGTCCATTTGTGGGCAGCGACCGCAGCCTACCCCAGAGTATTTTGATCATATATGGTCAAATTTTCTGTCATTCGCGACAGCCGGATTCTTAAATTTGTCTAAGCGGTGTCCCACACCAGCGAAAGCGGCCTTCTTAAATCACTTTCATCAGAAGCTGTTCTATGGTAGCAGCCGAGTTCACTTGGGAACTTCCAAAAGAAGTACTCTTGCGGTTTCAGCCTAGTCATTTAGCAACCTCGACAAAAATAAAGCCTTTTTACGACTGTAGCTACTTCTTTTGATAACTTTGACAACAACGAAATCTTTTTGCTGCGGCGACTCGATACAAACACCATTAAAATCCTTTTGCAGCGGCAGTCT